GGCGGGCCCCCACGGTCCTCCTGCCATGCCACGGGCACCATCCCTGTCAGCCAGCATCCCTGTCAATCAGCCAGCATCCCTGTCAGCCAGCATCCCTATTAGCCAGCATCCCTGCCAACACTGATAGCCAGCGGTGGGACTCGGCTTCTTCCTGTGGGATGGAATGGCCTTTGGAGAGAGAAACAGATTTATTATAACACTTCATGTTAATTGTCATTAAATCCAAATGATTTTATCTAGGTTCTTTTTGTCACTTGGCACAGGGTTGAACGATTTTAACAGGAATGATTTGGGGGTTGGACTAGATCACCTTTAAAGGTCCCTTCCAACCCAAACCATTCTGTGATTCTATGATTTCTTTGTCTTTATTAAATGTAGTTATAACTCCTGACTAATGCATGTCACTGAACTTCACCCAGCAGCTATCAAGAAAGTGCTCCTGGCTGCTTTTGACCTTGAAGGATTGTTTTTCCCCTGGGTTGTTTCTCACAGTGGCACGGGGGTGAGCGATGGGCATCGGCCCCTTGGGTGAATCAGTGGCACAGGCAGCTCAGGTAAGCACGACTGGGACGGGCCAGCATCTGCGCTGGAGGATGCTGAGATGTGGCTCCCTGGGTGAGCACTATGCTTGGGGACAGAGGGGACCCAGCCTGTAGTTTTTGGCAACATTTCCCAGCAGTGTCTGGCATTTCTGTTCCATTCTAGAAATCAACCTGGATGCCCAAATCCAGCCACGAGTCCAGGTTTGCCCTGACCGCTGCCAATATCAACCAGAGAAACAGCCTGGGATCTGCCCCAGGTAAGGCAGAGCAGTGCGGGAGGCTGGTCATGTCCCTCGGACCGGCTCCCCTGCTCCCTGAGCCCTGCGGCCACCCCACACAGGTGAGGGAGTGGGGGGGGGGGAGCGCTGCCAAACCAGAGCTCCCGTGGGTGCCAGCGCCCAGGCAGGGGCAAGGCGAGGGAGGGTGCTCCCGTGTTTTAGGGTCTCTGAAGCTCCCGTTCCCATCCCCTTGTGCTGCCTGCAGAAAGGGGGGGGGGGGGAATAGAGGGATTTTTTTTCTGGTTTCACTATAGGAAGGATTTTCAAACCCTATAAATTCACTTTTGACAAGCGAACAGCTAAAGCAGATTAACCTTTTTGCTAATCCTCTATAATGGCTTTGGAATCTCCTTAACCAATAAGAAAATGATAAGAGCCTGTTTCTTTTTATCTATATCTATATTGTCCTCCCTTGTCTGCATTTTTTTTCTTTCTTGTTTTATTTTCCTTTCCTTTTCTAATATGAAATAGCCCAGCGATCCTATCTCCTGTAGGCTCAGTAAACAGAACATCAATAATCCCTTTGCTTTATTCCTCTCCGGTAACAGGGTGCAGAGAAGTGTCTGCCGATTGGGATTTGATTACCAGCAGCTATCAAAAGTCTCTTTGTAAGATCTGGGTCCTAAATCCCATAATTCTTTGATAAAAGAAGTATTACTAGTCCATTTTCTGAAGTGAAAGGTACGGGAGGAATGAAAGAAAGCAATCAGTGGAGATCCTAATAGGCTAAGTACATGTGCGGTGGGAAGGCAGGGACGGGCAGGGGAGGCCAGGGAAAGGCGTCCTTTGTTAAGGATGGGGAAGGAGAATTAATCCGCTTCAGGCCTATGATTATTACAGCCGAGAGCAGAAAGGGCCAGATCCTGCACCCGCCCGCGGCATGGCCCAGCTCGCCTGCCCCGCCATCGCTCTGGACCAGCATGGTGTGGGGAGCAGAACCCAGCCCCACATCCATCTCCTGTGTCAGCATTTGGGTATATACATAAAAGCTGGGAGCAGTTTGTGATGATCTCTGGCGTTAGTGCATCCCCAGTGCCTCTCCGGAGCGCTGACGCCTTGGCAAGGCAGCAGGGAACATATCCAAACCAGGCAGCTACAAAAGCGTCTTCCTCTCAAACCTACAGCAAATATGCAAAGACTCATAGAACATGGTTATCGTTTATGTTACACCGCTGGACTAGCTGAAGGAGAGGCAAATAAAGGGATGGAAGAAAAGATAGTGGTTTGGTTTTAAGTGAGTTTTTACAGAGGTTTGAGGGTCACAGGTAGAGTGGCTGTGGGGCATCTCTTCCTGGCACTGGGAGACCAGCAGGGTGAGGAAGGGCAGGCAGAAAGCAGGGCCAAGGAGAAAATAAAGGGGACTGAGAGGGGGCTCTCCTGGAGACTGGCTCACATTTCCACGTGATGCTGGAGGGGTCGCTGGGCTGTCCAGCGTGAAGCCACAAGGTGCCAGGAGGACCTTTGATGCACAGTGGTTTCACAGCACTCACCTGTGTGTCTCCTCGGTGTACCATGAGTGGGACTGGTATCTTCTCTCCCCTGCGAAGAAACACAAAGTGGGAGAGTTCCCCGTGTGAGCTCCCAAAGCCTCGCTACCCACCTTGGCTTAAACCGCACTGAGGGCAAGAGAACTTGGGTTAAAACTTTCCTAAGCCAGCTGAGCTCAGTCCCAGGTTCTCTATTTCAATGCCAGCTACTCATTTCAGTTATAAACCCAAGATGGAAGATGTCCTCTCTGCTCCCGTGGATCGCATCTGCCAGGCCTTGTTGTTTGCCCTCGGGAGGGCTGGTGCCAGGCATCCCCTCCCGCCCCGAGTCACCGCTCTCGGCCGTAGCCTCACCCCAGTTTCTCTTGCTGACAAAACTTTGGGGAAGCCTGGCTGCCCCAGGCAGCCATCCTGGCTGCTCTGGGCTCGC